ATATATATATATATATATTATACATGCATTTTAAATTGAAAATCTTATGTTTTGTTTCATCATTCAATAATTCTCTCTTCACTCAAATATATGTACATATACACATACGTTTTTACATGTTTTAATCAAATAATTGAAAATTTTGAACTTTATTCATGTTATTTTACTTGTTTATTATTTATGTATAATAAAAAATTAAATTTTGGTGTGTGAGGAAAGATTGAGTTCTAAAAGCCCAATCTAATGCAAGTTTTGGAAAAGATAGTGATGGGAAGTTTGAGAGACACAAAGGGTCCAAAATTTACAAAACCCTCCCTTAAACCACTGATTGGATATCCCTAAACACCTCCTTAGAATAGGGTTATAAATAAATTGAATTCGGATCAGAGTAAAATCCAAATCCGATCCAATTATTGAAAACCTGCATTTGAATCCTATCGGATTTGAAGACCTTGGATTCAAATTTGAATCCTAGATCTGGATCGGATTTGGATTTAAACCAATTCCTCTTTAATTTTTTAAAATACAGAAAAATAAAATGTTAATTACATTTCATCTTTTATATATAATAAATTAATATAAATATAACATATTGAATTTATTATTTATATAACATATAATATATGAAAATATATTTTTTATAATTTTAAATAATAATTATATAAAATTTATATATTAAAATCAATAAGCACTAAAATATAATTAGATTAGATGGAATCAAAGTCAAATCTGATTCAATTATTAATCAGGTAAAGATTATAAAATTCAAATCTAATCCAATTATCTAAACACGTCATCTCTGAAATAATTGCAACTAATACCTTGAATTGACAGGGCTACCTTAGTGTAGTCATTTCTTTCTATTTTTATGATCCACTAATTTGGTAGTCATTTAGTGTTATTAAAGTTTTTGGTTTGAACATGAAGAAATGCCGTGAGATTGGGGGTATGAATCAGTACCCACAGCCACCTGTTATCTGAAACATTAATTAGTACGGATACTTGGACTCTTCTTCTGAGTCAACGTTCGGGCGTCATGGTTTGATGTATTTTACACAAAGACCTGATAAAAAGACTGTAATTCACTTCAAAAATTTAAAATCACAGCCACCTCCTAATCTATTAATAGCCGTTTTTATAGTTCAGTCCACACTAGACTTAAGATTTTTATGGGTGGACTGAATCCTGCCCGTGAATTGATGTTAAATTTACGGGTAAGATGCAGTATATAGGGAGCTACTAGTAGATTAGGAGACATTCTCCCTGTACTAGTAGATTATTACAATTAGCCCTCTTCCCCCTATAAATTACATCCTGCCCGTGAATTTGGCATCAATTCACGGTCAGGCAGTACTTTGGGCCTAGTAAATTCTGATCATAAAAACATCATATAAAGTTTCATTTTAGTAAAAACCTTCCTTATAGTTTTGAAAAGTTCTGCAATTACCATCCTTTCATCATTTTCTCAATTTATTATCAAGAAAAACTATTATTGTCTTTTAAGTTATAACATTATCCTTATCATTTGTTAAGAAATCTTTTAATATAACCAAAATGCCAGATTTATGCTTTTAGGCTTCACTCAATCATAATGAATTTACAAAATTAAATTAGATATATATATATATATATATATATATATATATATATATACAAGGGTAAAGTGAGTATAACATTATCCTTACTATTTATGCTTTTATGCCAGATTTATGAAATATTTTTGTAAATTTCCATTTGAATTATATATATATGTACAAGGGTAAAGTGAGTATTTCCAAAAAAAATAAATGCATTAGGCAAAAAAAAATTGAATGCATTAGGCCAATGTTTTCTGACTGAGATAATGATGGCAGGGAGGTATTTTTCAAAACTGTAGAGAAGGTTTTTGTTAAAATAAAACTTCGGGACAAAGAGCGTTGTACCCAAAAAGGAAAAACAAAGAATTTTTTCCACGCGCTTGTGAAAATCATAAAATGAAAGAGCGTGTAGAACGGGTTATAAAACCGATTAATGGGCCAGTTTTCGTGGGCCTTTGTAGGGAACAGTGGAGTGTCCAACCCGTAGCCCATTATTGAACACGCGTTGATGTGTTACTGTGTGTGAGCTCATCCCGTTCGGATGTTAAATCCTCTCTCTCTTAAGTCTTGACGGGGTCATCGCATCGGTGAGCAGTGGGAAGGGTCCGTCCTACATATCCAAAACTCTCCACATAAACGCACAAACAATTCACTCAGCCTGATATTTTCTGTAGAATGGCGTCTGTATTTTCAGCACTCTTTCTATTTCTCTGTGTCATCACTCCAATTGCAGTAGAAGCTCAACCCAAAATAATAAGCTTGGGCTCTTTGCTTTCCCCCGCTACTCAGCCTTCTTCATGGTCATCACCTTCTGGCCGATTTGCATTTGGATTCTATCCTTTAGGTGATAATCGCTTTGTCATTGGAGTTTGGTTGGTGGGCAAACCAGCAAATACACTTGTCTGGATGGCGAATAGAGATGACCCACCGGTCTCGTCAAATGCTACTTTGCGCCTAACCATGAACGGTAGAGTAATTCTCTCTCCTGGAACTGAGCCAGGTGAAGGAAAAAGCATTACCTCTACATCAGTCACCAGTTCCTATGCATCCATGCTGGACTCCGGTAATTTTGTGCTTTACAGTATTTATTCCGGGGTTTTGTGGGAGAGTTTCAGTCATCCGACCAGCACCTTATTAGGAGGTCAGTTTCTATCCACGGGGAATCAATTGATTTCCAGTGTATCCGAAACAGATTGCTCATCTGGACGGTTTCGTCTCAAGCTGCAGAACCCATACGCTGTTCTTTACCCCATAAATACCCCTGACTTAGTATTTGTGGAAGGTTATTGGAACGTCATTGGACATGGATCCAACTTGTATCTACATCTAGATAATTCTACTGGTATTCTATCTATCCGCAACGGCACCGATCACGAGTTTTGGAGATCGAAGCCCGACTTAAGCTCTCTTTCCGGTGTCAATGAGACCACCATTTTCCGCGCAACACTTGACAATGATGGAATTTTCCGGGKGTATGCTCATGGACCCAACTCGGTGTCGACTGTGTGGGAGGCACTGAGCATGGACAAACGGTGTGAAGTCAAAGGTATTTGCGGTTTTAACAGCTACTGCAGGATGATGAACAATAAAACCGATTGCCTATGTCTTCCTGGGTTCGATTTTGTTGACCCCAACCAGAAGTCTCTGGGCTGCCAAAGGAGCTTCACTGGTCCTGTATGCAAACATGGAGAAGGGAACATTACGACGTCGTATAACGTTGCTTCTCTGCAAAATATATCTTGGGGATCATCCCCTTACTTTTCTGCATATATTACAGAGGAGGAATGCCGCAAGTCCTGTTCAGAAGACTGCGTCTGTGGTGCTTCAGTGTTCAAAAATGGGTGGTGCGATAAACACCAGCTTCCTCTGAGATACGCGAGATTGAACATAGGCAGCACTGAATTGTCCACTGCTTTCTTTAAGATTGGTACTACGAAGAGTCAAATGGAAAACAGTACCCAGCGAAGCCCAGTAAAGCCAGTGATTGTGACCGAGAACAAAATCAGTTCATTGGTCCTTGTTGCTTTGGGTTTCTTTGGGTGCAGCTCATGTTTTGCTGTTGCCATCTCTGTTTTCTTTGTTTATAGCCACCAAGTTCTAAAGAATAGATTGATGGCAGAAATGGGGAGTCTGGGTCAGAGGGATGAGTTTACGCTACGGTTGTTTTCATACAATGAGCTCCAGAAAGCAACAGAGGGGTTCAAGGAGGAATTGGGTAGGGGATCCTTTGGCGCAGTTTACAGGGGGACTCTTTCTAAAGGTAAGAAAGTGGTTGCTGTAAAGAGACTAGAGAAAGTAGTCGAAGAAGGAGAACGAGAATTTCGGGCTGAGATGAGAGCAATAGGGAAAACCCATCACCGAAACTTGCTTCGGTTGCTGGGTTACTGTGCGGAGGGTTCAAATCGACTTCTGGTATACGAGTATATGAGCAACGGATCACTTGCTAACCTTCTCTTCAAGTCCGAGAAACGCCCCTGTTGGGATGACAGACTGAGGATTGCATTGGATGTAGCAAAAGGGATTCTCTACCTCCATGAAGAGTGCGAGGCCCCTATCATCCATTGCGATATAAAGCCTCAGAACATACTGATGGATGATTTTTGGACTGCTAAGATATCCGATTTTGGCCTAGCCAAGCTGCTGATGCCGGATCAGACTAGAACTTTTACCCAGGTCAGAGGGACCAGAGGGTACTTGGCTCCAGAATGGCAAAGGAACACACCCATATCAGTGAAGACTGATGTTTACAGCTATGGAGTGGTGCTGTTGGAGATTGTTTGCTGCAGAAGGAACATGGATGTTACTGCATCTACACCAGACGAGATTGTTCTTTCTACTTGGGTCTATTATTGCTTTGTGACCAGACAACTGAAAATGCTTATACGTGATGAAGATGTTGATATGAGGACGTTGGAGACGATGGTTAAGGTGGGATTGTGGTGTATTCAAGATGAACCGGTTCTTCGCCCTTCAATGAAGGCTGTGGTTCTCATGTTGGAAGGCATCATCGAAGTACCTGTTCCTCCAACTCCTAATCCTTCGTTCGTGTCATCTGAGGACCCGTTTGGGTCGCAGTAATAGGAGTTTCCTATGAGATCAACCGAACTGCTGCAGCACGAGAAAGCCCGGCGGTAAGTAAGTACCAAATGTTTGCAGGCCGTCGTTGAGCTGGCCGATTAGACCGTTTAACGCCAGAGAGAACTGGTCAGACCGGCAATTCTCCAAACAGTTGTACGGATTTAAGTTTCAAAATCACTAAATGAGTTATATTGTAATTATTAATTTATTATAATAAACGTTAGAAAATTATACATTAAAAATTAAAACAGAGAGTGGTAAGGATGTCAATGGCCCCGGTTTGATATGGGCGTGAATCAACCGATGAAACCAAATACAAAGCAAACCACCATGAAATCTGTTCACGGGCTGGGTTGGGTTTTGCATCTTTATAAACAAATAAACAAAAAATGATCACGTCAGTCCAATTTTATAATATATTAATTATATATTCTTAATAATATWWTATATATATATATATATATTATAATATTCCATATATTACAAACAAGGTTTAAAATATTGGTATGTATCAGTTTTCCCGATATGCCTTTACAGGGGATGTTTTGAATCGACAAGTGGTTCAGGGGGTAAACCATCCTTAAATCAGCTCTTCTGAACCAGATTCAAAATAAATAAAATAAAAAATACCGATACAGGCCAATACGCCATACCAGCATATCACTCAGTATCAATATTTTGAACCCTGATTATAATATATAAAATATCATATAATACTTTTTTTTGTTACTAATTGCATTGTTACATAATGTACAATATATATTATTTATTATTAAACAATGAAATGTGAGCACACTAGTGTATTATTTCAAACAGCACTTGTGAACTTGTGATTTTGTTTTCTCCGTTAAAAACATTGGAGTGTTTACATTTTATTGAGGGGTCTGTGGATTGTTTTATAACCAAGGTCGCAAGAAATGTGATATCTTCCGAGCTCCGAGAGGCCTAGACAAAAAGCGAGGCTACTCTGAAGTCTGTTTAGTGTAAGAGAGAGATTGCCAAAAAGTTTAAAATGTATATGAAAGGGAATCTGGAGAAAGAGGGGGAGACCGGAGAGAGAGATGACAGAAATAACACTGTAACAAAGAACAAAAGATGTGCTCGAACTGTTTGGTTTACCCTTATCTTTTAGTTGTTAGGATTGAAATTTGAGAGTTAAAATTGAACCATCAGATTGGAATATGGATAACAGTAGATTATAATATATTAATAATTAATATACAATAGCCTAATATTCTAATATATGTGGCACTCCTCCATTAAGACACGTCATTTTAAAGATTTAAATAAAATGGACATATGTCAAATTTTGATTAGTGGTAGTTCAAGAAAAGAACCCACTAACATGCAGAGTGGAGCCCACCACAATGCAGAGTTATGAGAAGTGGGAAGCTCCCACTTTTGATCATTTCCTAAAAAAAAGGAATCTATTTTATAAATTACTGTTAATTATTAAACTAATTACTTAATTTTAGCTATTGATTATTAATAATAATCTACTTCTAATTACTTAAGTACAGCTATTAATGACAAATAATATTTATTGTTAATTATTAATTAATTAGAGTTAACTACTGCTAATTAATTAATTCCAGATATTAATTACTAATAATAATTACTCACCGATAATAATTAATTACTTAAAATAATTTCTGCTATTACTTAATTGCTGATAATAATTAATTAGTGATTATATTGCTCATTATTAATTCGGAAAAATAATTTCTTATAATAATTACTGATAATACTTAATTACAGATAATTTATTACTGACAATATTGCTAATTATTAATCAATTAATGATAATTAATTAATATTTTCATAATGATAATTAATAATTCAAAAATAATCATTTTATACTTATATTAACTAATATTAATTATTTTGAAAATAAATATTTAATGTTAATTATTTATATTATAATTATTATCAGAAATTATAATTCATACATTTATATCAATATTTAATTATTTTATTACTATAAGTAATTATAATTAATGATATTATATTAATTAACAAATTTATATTATTATTATTATAAATAATTATAGTTAATTATTACTAATATTAATGATGATAATTAATACTTCGGAATGTTAATTAATTAATGATAATTAATAA